CTGGAAAGAAGGACAGGGCCATCCACTTCTGAAAATAATTGGCAAGTGAAAACCTTATGAATAGCAGTGAAACATTGTCTAAGATATTACTGAAAAACTTTATGAATAGCCCTGAAATATTGTCTGATATTGTGCCAGAAGATGAGCCCCTCAAGTCAGAAAACACTCAAAATATGATTGGGAAAGAGCTGCCTCCTCAAAATAGAGTCAACCTTAATGATATGGATGGAGTAAAGCTTTCTGGACCTTCATTTGCTGATAGGGCACAGCTCAAAATGAGAAGAAACAGCTGCAAACATTCATTACTAATCGAAACATGGAATGTACAAAGTATGAATTTAGGAAAACTGGAACTTGTCAAAAATGAAATGGAATGCAATATCCTAGGCATTAGTGAGCTGAAATGGACTGGGATTAGCTATTTTGAATTGGATAATCATATAGTTTACTATGTTGGGAGTGATAAATTGAAGAGGAGTGGAGTTACGTTCATCATTAAAAAGAGGATTTGAAGATCTATCATGAAGTATAATGCTATTAGTGATAGGATAATATCCATATGCCTATAAGGAAGACCAGCTAAATACTACTATTATTCAAACTTACACACCAACCACTAAAGCCAAAGATGAAAAATAGAAGATTTTTTATCAACTTCTACAGTCTGAAATTCACCAAACATGCTATCAAGATGTATTGATAATTGCAAGTGATTGATATGCAAATGTTGGAAACAAAGAAGACGCATCAGTAGTTGGGAAAAAAGGTTTTGGTGATAGAAATGACACTAGAGAGCACATGATAGAATTTTGCAAGACCAGTGACTTATTCATTGCAAATACCTTTTTCAACAACATAAACAGTGACTATACATGTGAACCTCGCCAGATGGAATACACAGGAATCAGATCGACTGCATTTGTGGAAAGAAGAGATGGAGAAACTCAGTATCATCAGTCAGAAAAAGGCTAGGAGCTGACTGGCCATCAATTGCTCATATGCAAGTTCAAGTTGAAGCTGAAGAAAATTAAATCCACAAGAGCCAAAATATGATCTTGATTACATCCTAGCTGAATTTAGAGACCATCTGAAGAATAGATTTGACATATTGAACACTAGTGACTGAAGATCAGACGAATTATAGCATGACGTCAAGAACATCCTACATAAAGAAAGCAAAAAGTCATTTAAAAGACAGGAGAGGAAGAAAAGACCAAAATGGATGTCAGAAGAGACTCTGAAACTTGCTCTTGAATGGGGAATAAAATAGCTGAACGGAAGATTTCAAAGGGTGATTCGAGAAGACAAAGAATTATAATGAAATGTTCAAAGATCTGGAATTTCAAAACCAAAAGGGAAGAAAGCTCTTGACATTTCTCAAGCTGAAAGAACTGAAGAAAAAATTCAAGCATCGAGTTGCAATATGGAAGAATTCTATGGGCAAAATATCAAATGATGCAGGAAACTTAAAAAAAAAAAAAGGAAAGAATACAGAGAATCATTGTACCAAAAAGAATTGATCCATGTTCAGGCATTTCAGGAGGCAGCCTGTGATCAAGAACTGATAGTACTGAAGGAAGAAGTCCAACTGTGAAGGAATTGGCAAAAAGAAGACTCCAGGAATTGACCTACTGAGATGTTTCAACAAACAATGCAGTACTGGAGGTGCTCACTTGTTTATACCAAGAAATTTAGAAGACAGCTACCTGGCTAACCAACTGGAAGAAATCTGTATTTGTGCCCACTCCAAATAAAGGTGATTCAACAGAATGTGGAAATTATCGAACAGTATCATTAATATCACCAAAAAACAAACAAACAAAAAAAAAACTCACTTCCATTGAGTCAATTCCAATGCATAGAGACCCCATTAATCATATGCAAGTAAAATTTTGTTGAAGATAAAAAGGTTTGCAGCAGTGTATTGACAGGGAACTGCCAGAAATTCAAGCTAGATTCAGAAGAAAGTGTGGAACAAGGAATATCATTACTGATATCAAATGGTTCTTGGTTGAAAGCAAAGAATACCAGAAAGATGTTTATCTGTGCTTTATTGACTAAGGCAATTCAACTATGTGGATCATAACAAATTAGGGGTAACATTGAGAAGAATGGGAATTCCACAACATTTAATTGTGTTCATATAGAA